CATTCTTAGCATGCATATATCTAGCGTTCACTCTTTACCTGTGAACATGTCATCCTTTTTTTTCTAACCTTATTTTAGTGCGGATGAGCGTGAGAGTGAGATCCGAGTTTGTGACGCTCAGGTAGACTACCAGGGTACTGTACAGTGGCAACCAAGAGCCATCTACAAGAGCGCCTGTCAGGTTCACATTAAGTACTTCCCCTTCGACCAGCAAAACTGCAGAATGAAATTCGGACCCTGGACGTATGATGGGTAAGTCCAATAAACCACACTACTGCAAAAGGCGCCTCTCAAATACGGGGGTTCACCAAATTTGTAAAGATAGGCTGCTATAACGTAAGTTCGTGTAATGAAAACATATACCTGTGCAGTCATTGTCTGTGGCTGGATCTTGACACGCTAGCAGTAGCTTAATTCGCCGGAAAAACCAAACTTTAATAAATTTGCTCATAGGGTAAAAACGTGGGCCTAGGAGCAGCCAAGAGTGATCTTTTGTATCTCGATTCTGCCGATATTATGGCAGCAAGAATTTAGGATCTTTGGTTCGTAAACCATATTTCTTCGTTTATTCCGCCCACTGTATAAACATCTAGTCCTCTGAAATTTGGAAAACATGTACATTCGACTCTTTAGTTGGTATAAGGGTCGTTTACAGGCGGGAATCATCAAGTCTCTGTAGTGTATATATATATTTTTATCTCCTCGCACTTCTATTTTGATCCTATCAGGCTGTCCACTTGTCTCTTCTTCCAATTATTTCTGGAAAATATCATTTTCCCTTACTACTAGTAAACCACATATATTCATATGATGGGAAGAGTTTTAATCGATCATTTTACGGGGTAATACTCTTTGCAATCTATAATTATATTTGGCTAAATAACGATTAGTTATAAAGGAGAAATGTCCCTCCTTGTCTCCCTTGTCCTTATCGATGACGTTTCCTACAGGTATACGCATCTATTAATAGGTATGACTACCCGAGCAGTATGCTTCTATTCTGGAGTGGAAAAAAAGATTACAGCAAATGATAGGGACAGGTGACAAAGCACTGATGCGCTTTGGTCAGACGAAGTGTTTATTACTCATCTAGTAGCCTCGGGGATGATTCATAAGCGTCACTTCCGTGTGCAAGTCTGTGTTTTCGGTCCCAGCTGTTGGTAAAAATTGATGATTAGTTGACTGTAGGCAGAAGAAGTCCAAAGCAGTTCTCGATCAATCCTCTTCCAAACATTGCCGTCTTCCTCCACAATATAAAATATAATCGTCCATTGCTGGTGATATATTGCTAAAAAAAATAGTTTGCCTAAATGGACTTATTGAACAGTTCTTGTCCAAAGTAGGGACCGTATCATGATCAGGGATACATAACAAAATCCTTTGGAGAAGGGAGCCGAAACCGCCCCCTACCAATAAAAAAACTCAGAGGAAACTGGAAGCTAAAATTATGACAGTCCGTCATTTGGCAGAGAGAGAGAGAGAAATTTATGCAAAAGGCTGTAGCCGGGAGAAGATATTTGGCACGGGTAAATTGACAATGACAGTCGAAGGAAAATTAACAGATGAGAAGCCGGTGCGGCAGGAGCCCTGCCACTGTCCACATTTTGTCTTGCTTCGTGCTCGAGCGGCACTATTTTGTTGATTCCGAAAAGTTGGATCCTGTATTTGGGTTTAAGCCACTATAAAGCTGCCACTTGCTGTAGCCTACAGAGCAGATTTGCGTTCTCTGAAGATTGTACTACCAGCTAGTTTACAGCAAATCTTCACCCGTATCTCTGCTCACACGGAAGGAGAATATACTTTTATGCCAAAGTAACGATAAAAGAGTAGGATAGCCTGTAACCCCACCAACTCTGGCTGAAATTGCGGTAATCAGGTCACAATAACAGGAAACGCGCAGGCGAACTTGCGCCGAATTCCACGAAAATAAGGTTGAGGATTAAAAATTAAGGTTGGAGTTAGGTTTTGGGTTAAGTTTAAGGCTTGTATTAAGGTCAGATTTAGAATTAGGGTCAGGATAAGGTTCTTGTTAACTGTAGTATTTATTTTTAGGGTGGAGCTAGGGTTACGGCTAAGGTTAGAGTTTAGTCCTATATATAGGATTGGGCAAGTGCCAAAAATCCGTGTGTTC